GTGATGGGAGATTAGCCAGAGATTTTCTCCTCCTGTCATTTTCTGAGACACTGATCTACTGGCGAGTGAGATGATGAATAGTGGAGATTATATGTCTGTTCTTGAGTTTACAAAAGGCTTTACTGAAGGTTATGCTGATTCCAGGGACTAAAAAGAGCTTTGATTTATTTGTGAGCGCGTAAATCCCCCCACATATTGCCACACACAAGATGATTGCGACATTGCCAGGTCTCTTTCATGGACTATTTCAGCAGGTACAGACCTGGCCAGCAGATGTCACTCTTGGCTTACAAAAGGGCCTCACATGTTGGCTTTTTTAAGCATTGCTATGGAAAGGAGCCACAAAGGAGAAATTTGAGATTGCGTTTTGTTTGATAGAAAATATCCAAGTTTAGAGCATGTTGATGCTCACAATAAATGTTGATGGTCAAATCCTATAACTGTGGCCTAAGAGGGACAGAAATATTCAGGTTAGGCAAGTCATTTATGGAAATCACGAGCATAAATGATAAAAGTGATGTCTGTGACCAGTCATTGACTTCCATTAGCAGCTTCTGGCTTAACTGTAACTGGTCTGTTTCTTTCCTTACACTCTGTAATTATAGGCTATTATCAGCTCCCATACATGACCTTAATGAAATTAGGAAGACCTCTGACGCACTCATTCACACACATTCTCACATCCATGTGCACTGTGCATGCACGGCTACAACAAACAGGTGTGCACACACACACACGCACACACACACACACACACACACACACACAATAAATAAATCAGATTACTACTAATGCACATTCATATCATGTCTGTTTGGATCAATTTGACTACATTTTACACCGATTTTGTATGAATTGTAGAATATAAATATTGATCAACCCATATAAAATCCCTGGCGTCCTTTTCCTTATAGCAACTAACTTATTTCTAATATTTATCCACAGAAGAACAAAGCAATCACGCTGTTTGTAAAGAATGGCTTGCGTCCTGTTTTCATGAATACTAATTACTAATAATAATTCAAGCTGTCTAGTTATTGGTCACAGAGCAGCTCGACCCGCCATACCTTGATGGTGTTTTTTTTTTTTTTAAAGGGGATTTTCCAAAGAGATGTGGGAGAACAATATCCATAAATCTTGTGGTTATAAGGACACTTCTTCTTTTTCAATTTACGTAGGTTACCATTTCCTCATTGTTTTATCCTCGTCCTAACACACACACACACACACACACACACACACACACCTTTCGTCCACCTTTTCATCTCATCCGTCCTTTCTCCCTCTCACTCTACACTCCCCTCCTTGCCTTCCTTCCTTCCTTTCTTTGTTTTCATCACCTCTTCATCTGTAGCTTTTCATGTAAGGGAAAACAGGGATGGTAGTAACACTTTATCAATTTTTTCGCCCCAGTAATCCATAAATATTTTTGTTAGTGCATCCAAGACTGTGATTTTCAGTCATTCATTTTACGTAATTAATGCATCCACTACAGCTCACACTTCCTGTTTTGTGCACGCAACCCAGAGTCTCTATTGCAGGTCAGATTGTCTGCTGGGAGACTCACAGCAGCTGCTGATGTGCTGATGATATGTTGCCTTCACAGCACAGCTTGAATGTAGAAAAGCTGATATTCTGAATAATTTTGGCCTTTTCTCAGGCTGAAGGCAGAGTGACTTTTGGGGTTTGCTACGGTCACAAAACTTTAGACTCCTGAAGGGGTAATTTGTCCCACCGTAACAGGAGGAACGAGTAATATTAATCTATCGATATAAAACATAGCCATTTTTCTCAATCTTTCTTGTGTGCTTTTACTTAAGTAACAATTTCTATGCAGGACTTATAATGAAGTATTATTATGAAGAGTGGTATTAGTACTTTTACTCAAGTAAAGGATGTGAAAACTTCACTCTGCTGTCAATGTTATTAGGTTTGGTTGCACACTGGCTGAAACAATTTGTAATTTGAATAAAAAACTGGAGACCATCTTGAAATGAGATCACACCAGCCGAGACATTAAATCTGACCAGTTGCGTAAAGTGGGAGGGGCAATGTTCACTTACACATTTTGGCGATTTTGACTTCATCTCATAGTGTTCTTCAGGCAATGAAACAGGATCAGGAGTCGTCACATGACCTATGAGTGGTTAAACAAACAAAAAGGTCAAGTTCAGTTAGGGACTGTTCATTTGAAAACTAGCTGTTGCTTCATGTTCAACTCACTTAACAAATGATTAAAGTTGATTATGGAAACTGTTTTTTAATTGAGACGGCATAAAGAAACAGAATAACACAAAATACTATAAAACGACAAGTTAGTGAGAGCGCATTCTCACTTTACTCATAGGAACATAAAATATAAATATCATTAAACTTAAGTTGTGCTGTAACTGATATATATTAAGATTCTGCCACATTTTAACTGGATCAATCAGTTCATGTGAATATTTATGACAGCATTTATACCGTATGTATACTCTTTTTTTAAAACGTATTTATCTTCATATATGATGCTTTGTTTAAATATTCTCATTTTAAATGATGTTTAAAATAATGAGTGTGGACACAAGTTCTAACATTTTCATACCTTGTTTAAAAATGTAATGTTTTTAAATTTGTACTGAGTTTTTACACATTTGGTTCGATCAGTCAAAGCTTAGCAAAACTTGTCTTATCTCAAGATAATGGAAAGATTAAGTCTGATTTCAAATAAATAGGCTAAGATAGAATTATGAGAAACTGCAGTTGCTCTAAGCTTGCTGCTCTGCATTATTTGGTTTCAAGGTTTTTATTTGTCAGGTACTTAACATTGCAATGAAATGCTTGTTTGCCTACTGTGTTTGAATTATAAATATAAAGATATCCAACCTGAAAAACAACATAAATGTTTTATTACTTCTAGAAAGTGATTCTTCACTCTTTATTTGTTCTGTCTACTGGTCCTCATATATAGTACAGTACATACAGTATACAACAATACAACATAAAAACTGAGAACATACAGTATACAACAAAGATAATATGGTATTTGCTTTAGAAAATACTAAAAAGAGAAGAAGAAAAGACTGATGGTTATTCAAATAATGCTATTGGCAATGCAATAGATATGTGTATTTTAAGTTAATCTTTACATTGTCAGGTACTGGAGCACTCTGTCTGGAGCACTCTGTCTGTCTGAGGTTTTTCCACCATGTGGTTAATTTATTGTTGAGAACAATTAGAACTTTGAACCTTATGCTCTTCTAAGGAGTGGAGCTTTGTCTACATATTAACTATGGCCAGAGTGGTATACAATCCAAACAAACACTCCCAAAAGTGTCTCTGACCGATCTTGTAACACCACCATTAGGCCAAAGTTTTTACTTCCTAATGTCTGTATTTCTTGACCACCCTGCTGGAAGAAACATGATCTTGGATATAACTCTTCATGAGACTATCAGGCTCACCTTTTGGAAATCTGTAAATGTGTATCTCCTGGCACCTCGTCATAAATGTGTACTTGCAATAAAAAGAAACTTGATTCTTCTGACGTCATGAACTTTCCTCCACAGTTGCATGCTTCCATCAGGTCGTAAACATCACATTTCCCTTTGGCTCAGTAGCCTTTTCACAATGGATCAAAGCCCAGAGGAGCCCCACATGAATCAAAGACTAATTCTCAGAATCAGCCCATTAGAAGCCTAATTAGGAGCCTCAGCCCCCCACAGTGTGAAATGTTATCGAACATGCTTGATATTTTGTCAGAGCTCTTTCTAGTGTGAAACCAGCACCTTTAAAGACAGCCATAGTTCCAATAGCTCCGATGGGCTTTTGTTCAACTGTTAAATCATTTGCTCAGTGCAGCAATAACTATATATAAGCTATATAAGCTGATACTTAAATAGTTATGGCTTCTGGATCAGTAACAGCTTTAAAACAAACGGCAATAAAAACGTTGGATCACATTTACAACCCTTCCTCCATCCAAACTTTCACTTTCTCTGTACTAGTTTAACATCGCTACTTGGACACATTAAATGTGCATTTTGATTTTTCTGAACTGATATTTGCTATTCTGATATTCTGACCCTCAAACCTCACAATTTATTAATTTTTTTATTTGGTTTTTTAAAGCTGAGCTATGACTGAAGTTCTAAACTGGCTGATGGCATGCACCCAAGATAAACCAGTCATCCTTATGTACGTAAATCCCCACACTGGAGATGGTGGATATGCTGCCCTATGACAGCTGGTGAGCCATAGCTGGAGAGGTTGGCTCTTCAGGTACCACGTGGAACAAGATGCAAAATAAAACGTATCAGCAACCCAAATTAGCTTAATGTTTTAATATCAGGCTTGCTGAGTGAACTTGATGACACTAACAGCAGTGTGTTTTGGTGTTCAGATAAACACAGACAACTGCTACTTGATTGGCACACTGTGTGCTGGGTTTCATCATTCTAGCTTGAGTGATGAGAGTAATTTATGATGTTGCCATGGTCCCTTGCTACTGCTCTCCTTAGTCGCCCCTATACAGCTTGCACCCTCAACTCTCTCTGATACAGGCTTTCCATGGGATGGCTCAGCTGTAAATATGATGTGAAAATATTGAATACAGGTGTTTTACAACACTGTTCAAACATCAGTATTGAATGACTTCGAATGGTATTTTTTCCATTACAGCAATTCTAGTTAAAGCTGGGTTCATGACGTGGAGGAAGTTACTCCCCCCCCTCACAGTCTGCGTGCAACGGTATGTTGACTCATGCACCAATCATAACGTGCAACTCCATCAGTGAAAACCTTTTCCAGTAACAAGATCATGATAGCTGCCATTGTTCAGCGGGATGTCATGTAAACTCCAAAGTCTATCCTTCCAAAGGCAAAGAGGGGGAGAGAGAGAGAGAGAGAGAGAGAGAGAGAGAGAGAGAGAGAGAGAG